TTCTTCTTTTTCTTCTTTAGTGTTATATGAATTACAGAATGGATGTTCAACATGTTCATTTACAGTCGTAACTTCCTCCTCATTATCATCAACAACATCTTCCTCGGCAACGGTTGTTTCATCATCAAAATTCGGGTATTTACCAATATCAAAATCATTACACGCAGGGTCTGTTTCTTCTTCTGAAAAATCATCAAAATCCGAGTATTGACCAAGATCAAAGTCCGGGTATTGACCAAGATCAAATTTCGAATACTGACTAGTACTCACAATTTTTTCTGTTGGCTCATCATCGTCTAACTGGTCAATACGAAAATCGGAATTTGGTGCTGAAAGTTGATTGGGATTTGGATTAGGGAATGGTTGTGGGTTTTGAGATTGTGTTTGGTATTGGAAATGTGGTGAACAATATTTGCTTGGTGATCAAATTGTGGTGGAACCATTAAATTTTGAGCACCATAAACTGGGGTTGAAAAACTTAGTTGATTACTACCCGCTACTGACCCAACTTCACTACTTCTAGGTTCAACAACATACAATGTAACATCATCACTTGAAACACTAATGTAAGCAATGAATCGTTCAACATCTTCATTGTCGGTTAACAAATAAACTTTACCATTTCTCTGATAAGATAGCCTAAATCCACTTAGGGGCTCTAAATTCAATTTATTTGCAACACGTAACATTAGAATTTCATAAGTTAACTTTTTTTATGACAGTTTTAGTTGAAGATTCATGGGTAAAGGCATATATTGTAAAACACCATGAACATTCTCCCATGACCCTCCAAAACACAAATCTATCCAAACATGATCAACATTAGATGATTTCATTATTGTAAATTAATTTACTAAACAAACGAGCTGCGAAACTAAAACCTGTTGCCGGATGGGGAAGGATGTCGTTGGATATAGGAACGGATGTCGCCGGAGAGAGTGATAGATGGAGATGGAATGAGTTGCGATTTATGGATTTAGGTTATGAGTTGTTGCTGCTGCGTATTTATATACCCAAAACATTTGTGTTGCGAAATTAAAACCTATTGCGAATTCAGAAATCGAGTTGCGAATTTGAAATTCAGTATTGCGATAGTCAGAATCTCGTTGCGATTTACTAAATCGCAATGCGATTACGTAAATCGAAGTGCGAATTAGGAAAATCGCAATGCATTACGTAATCGCATTGCGATTTACGTAATCGCATTGCGAATTTGGGAAATCGCAACGCGAATTTGGGAAATCGCAATGCGATAGTCAGAATCGCGTTGCGAATCTGGAAACTGATTTGCGATACCGGAGATCGCGTTGCGAATTATCGATCGCATTGCGATTTAGTTGGTCATTTTAGCAAATCCAAAAAAAGTTGGTTAAAATCGTATATTATAAGGCATTTTTGGTCACTGAGGTTATTTTCTCTAATAATTATATTTGATAATTGACGAACATCGGATTAACTGCAACGGGGCCTAATCAGAGATGAGAACGTTAATTGGATTCAAGGATTCTTGATCAACATCGATAAATCTACCTGTGCCATGGTCAAAATCTGGGGAATTCGACAACATTTGATGATCGCAAAATCCCTGGGAGCGAGAAACCTAATCGTCGAAGCTGACGCAAACTGGGTAATCAGTGCCCTAAACAAGGAACAAATGGATAACATTCGAAAGGAGGTAATCTTCAAAGATTGTGAAGAAACCATGAAAGAAGAATGGATTTCGAAAATTAGGTATACCTAGAGAGAAGGAAACCGCTGTGCTAGTCGGCTGGCCAACATGACTTTTGGAAGAAATGAAGGGACGCACATTTTGGCAGAACCTCCAAAGGAGCTCAATCCCATTCCACAGGCGGATAAAAATGGAGAAGCAACACTGAGATGGTAAACTACTAAACGAAATCGTTTTTGTTCTAAAAAATGTTCAACTATGATAATTATAATTGATAATTGACGAACACTTGATTAAGTACGGCAAAGGCCTAATCAGAGATGAGAACGCTAATTGTAATTGGATTCAGGGATTCTTGATCAAAATCGGTAAAGCTACGAGGGAATCCGACAAGGTTTGATGATCGCAAAATCCCTAGGAGTGAGAATCTAATCGCAAAGCTGACTCGAACTGGGTAACTGATGCTCTAAACAAGGAACAAATGGATGACATTCAACAGGAGGAAATCTTCAGAGATTTTGAAGAAATCATGAAAGAAGGGTGGATTTCAAAAATTAGGCATAACTGGAGAGAAGGGAACCACTGTGCTAATCGGCGGACCGACATGGTCTGTCAAAACTAAATGTTAATGACCTCCTATACAATACTAAATGTTAGAATGCCACGTCAAAACTACTATACATATTCATCCTGGCCTACTTTGATACATGCACTATACAACACACTTCAAAAGAATATGTACTAACTTCTTCACTTGGTCTGATTTCCCGTGCTCGGACCAAACTATTCGAAGACGAACATCAGATTGTAGTTCAAGCATTTCATTAGCAAGAGCCTACACACCACATGGAGATTAAAGACTTCAAGAAAGGAAACTCACCAATCCTTCCTCCTATATCTACATGGATAATCACAACTCAAATTAAAGATCAAAACAGCAGCAGTAGGGTTAAGACAACTTTTTAAATGGGATATAGATGTTATTTGATCGACATATCATCTGGAGATATGACTCTCTGTCTCTTAGCTTTCCAACAGTACTTGAATCGCATTAATATGATGTCGGGAACTCAAGATACGTTCATTTTAACGAAGACATCACATACAAAAATTCCTATACATGATTTTGTAAAATATTACAAATTATCAATATTTTTATTGATTATTTGTAATATAACTTGATATAGGATACTTTACTATCTTTTAGGATTATATTTATTATTTTATTAGAAATTAAAATTAAAATATCCTTAGTTTATTATTATTTTCTTCATTAATTTCCTAGGACTTTCTCACCTATATATATAAAGGAGACTCCATTAAACTTTAAAAATCAGATTTATTTCATTAATAATACAACGTGAGCATATTTTTGCAAGTGTTGGTTGCCTTGTACCTTTGAAGCATCTTCATCATAAAGTTCTTCGTGAGGGAGATCTGCACGCTTTAGTTTACTTCTCATTGCAATTAGAAAGACTGGTTAGAGCTTATTATCGAATTTTCCTAGTTAATTACGATTAGGACTGTTCATAGGACATTTATCCATCATTCTTATCATCACCATCATCATCCCACGACAAATACATCACCATAGCTAACTTCAAGCCAAACTTATACATATCAAGAGAATTCTCAATTCGAGTTCTTTCATATCTTTATTTATCTTTTCGTAATTTTTTTGCATAGTTATCATCGTTATTACATTATCTTCCTAATCATCATCTTCTTGTTTGATTTTCAGCAACTTTCTCATTCAAGAAATCATAGTTTGTGAAAAAAAATCATAATTTCATTTAATATTATTCTTTGATTGAATTTAGATCTTTAAACTTGATTCTTCAACTTCGAACAATATTCATTATTCTGTTGCCATCTCCTATCAAACTTGATTGAAATATTCCATTATGTATTAGTTGGTGTTTTTCTTTCCATCAACAATTTATTAATCTATCGAATTTATTCAACAGTCGAGTAATTTCGTTTAAAATTTAATTATTTACTTAGTTTATTGGATTTCAGCTTCAACAATATTTTTATGTCGTTTTATGGTTTATAATTATTTATTCTAATAATATTATTTTTGAAGTTTAAATTGAGGATCTATGCTTAAGGATGCAACATATTTTATCATTGCATCCAACATTTACTATTAACACAAGGGTTAAGATACCTAAACACCTTCCCACTTAAGCATATATTACAATTAGGAAGGGCAGATGAGTATAATTTTGTAGATTCTATACCACACCCGTTTTAATTGGGGTGGGGATGAGTATAAATTTAGTGAGTAGTGGGCGGGTGTGGGTGTCAAAAGTTATACCCGTCCTGAGCAATGAGTAAGTGATAGGTTTGAGACCTTACTCGCCCCGCATCCACCCGCCCCGTATCCGCTCGCCCAATAATTACCCATTGAATAAATTTTAAACCATTATGAATTGGGTTAATTACCCCATTCATACATGAAGTATATCAAATTCTTAGTTTCATACATAGTATTTTAAAATTCTCGATTTTATACATGATGTTTTCTGCCGTTAATGAGTTCATCTATTCCCATCACGACAAGTGATATGGAACACTGTGATCAATAACAAAATGACACTTAGTACTTTAAAAAACATTTTTAATTTTTTTTATTTTAAAAAAAAACAAAACCCATACTTTTTTATGTTATTGACTTGCACCGATATAAATATGTGTTAAATGTTTTTGTCAAAATAAGGGAAATTTTATTAACTTACACCGGTGTAAGTATGTATTATATGTTTTTTCTCAAAATAAGGAAAATGGGTTTTGTTTTTTTTTAAATTAAAAAATATTTTTTAAAAGTGTTATGTGTCATTTTGTTAGTGATCATAGGGTTGCACTTGGACGAGTAATTTACCTGTTGTGAGTGATGGGTAAATAGTGAATATAAAAAATATTAAGTAGATAAAGAAATGAGGGAAAGGATATCCGCTTCGGTCTGCCATCCCTAATTACAATTAAACACTTTCGAATCTTCGTCCTCTTATATGTTATGATAGTAATTATGATAATTGAATTATGACTTGTTATCTCTCTTTATTTTAGCGTCAATCAATTTAATGTCAACCACCACCTCCCTATGGCACCCAAATCGATCACAGCCCAAGTCAAATTGTCAAGCCCAACTTAGACTGACCAGATCTATACCCAATAATTCAAGCTAGACATTAAACAAAGCCCGGCAATTATTAAACTATATTATAATCAACAAAGAAGCCCAAAAAAACGAAACTCAAATTCCAACCAATTCAAAATGGTGAACTATAAGATCAACTTAATTAATTTATTCGAGTTTTCGATTAAGGCTGAGAGATAAAATCCAGGGCTAGATATACAACTGATGCATAGAAATCTAAACCTAATGCTTAAGCTTGGCAAGTTGATAAACATTAATGGGATAAACTTCGGTTTGAAGATAGGAAGTGAAAGCCTTCGTTGCTATTTCTACATTCACTGCTTCCGTGGGATGAAGCCCATCGAAGAACACATGAGCACTTCTGTCGCTACATATCTTCCCTCCTGGCATGCATAATGTCCCACTCCCTCCTAACTGTGCCGATGGCACCACTTCACAGCATTCATTGTTTGCATCTTTGAAGCCTTTGGTGGAAGGGTTTTCGATTATGTCGCTTATGATCTTGTAGGAGTTGACAAAAACAAGACTTGAATTTTGCATGTCGGATTTAGCCACATCTATCAACGATTTCAACCCGTCGTTGAAGAGCGTCGCCGCCTGGTTCAGAGCTTCGATGCAGCTGCTCCCGTTACGCCGTGTTTTCAACATCGGGTAACATCCCAGCGGGTTTACGGACATCAACACGAACTTCCTTGCTCCTAATGTGTACAGCTTCTGCAATAACCAACCGTGTTTACATTGGTTTTTCTTGAACAGTTAAAGACGGATGATGTTGGAAACGAAAGCACCTTGAGTTGGAGGGAAAGGGAGCTGGTGAGATTGGCAGTGAAAGCTTGAAGGGTGGGGTTGTTGTCGCCTCTTCTGAGAAAATAGTTGAAGGAATAGTCGTTCCCTCCGGTTCCCACCACGAACATGTAGTTTTTAATCAACTCACTGCTCCCTCTTTTGCACCCCAGCTGTTTTTTCAGTTCCGGCAGTGTAATGTCCTCGAAGTTCCTTATTTGTTGATTTAGGGTTATCACTTGCCGCTGTAAATATGCAGTTTCCGTTGCTAATTAATTACTTTCCCATAATCATTCGTATTACCTCTAAGATGGAATGATAAAGACTGGTTATTAATTTATACTATCGTTAAAAGAGAAAATTCAAATAAGCTGGGGAAAGCTGTTTATGCCATTTTATTTATGTGAAGATGACCACAATTGATGACTATCCACTGCAAAATGACAGGTGGAAACACATTAAATACTCGTAAAATACCACCACTTTAAAGAAACAGTTGGTTTTAGCAAAACACTTTTGTTTAAGTTAATCTTACTTAAAATACACTAAATTACTTACCACAAGATAGTGAAGTTGCTGAAAAATGAAGGTAAACAGGAAATTTCGCTTACCGCAACAAAACCGGTTTCGTCCAATATACCAGAGGCACCAGAGGCGAAGTTGACGCCATGAATCACTCTGCTTCCCTTAGTTGAAGGATCGGAGAAGGGTGGAATAAGACGGGGGAGCTTAAGCATTTCAGCCAGCAGGTCGACGACATTTTTCCCGTTGGTAAACCGACCAGATGGTCCGCCGGGGAAGTCTATTCCGTACGGAAAGAAATCAGCTTTAGCCAAAGAGTCTTGAAGGAAGTTGTTGTTGCCGTTGTCCACCAACGAGCTTCCGAATATAAACATCCCTCTCATCTTCTCTCTTCCATCACCTCTGCTTTCAAATAAACATGCCAAGAGTTGAAGGCATAAAAGGATAATCCCATTTGCTCTTCTCTTGCCCATTCTTTTACCACCTTCTGAGATCTGGTTTGAGGGATTAATGGATTGCAATATGTGTGGAAAGAGTGGAGGGGGCTTGTTATTTATACAAGAACAAAGGTAATGCTAGTCTTGATCCTTCAGATGCTTGGTAATAATAACACCTCCATATTCTCCAACGCTATAGTTTCTTTAATTTATTTTTCTTAAGTTAAATAAATATTTTAAAATTAAATGATTTTTATTATTTTACTTCAAACATCAATACCAGTTGATTTACTTGTTTGAATTATGATGTTAGAGTTCTAAATATAATTTTTTTAGATAATAATTATATAAACTAATAATTATATTAGTTTCCAACTTACCTCAGTGGTTAAAGGAATCGTTGTTGTTCCTAGAGGTCACGGGTTTGAGCATCAGCTGTAATGCCCCGAATCCCGGGTTAGTAGTTCAGGTTAACCCGAAGCTCAAAGTTGAGCCATTGGACCTTATATTATTTTAGTTGGATCAAGTTGTTGTTAGTGGGCTTGAGTTAGGGCCCAAGAGAGTTAATGAAGGGTGATGAGTAAATTATGAAATAAAAGTATAAGCACTAAAAGTTTAGTTTACCCATAGCTATTTTGGAAGCTGAAAATCCCTTCTTAAATTATGTTTTCATCGGGAACAACCCTCCTTACACAACTCACCAAACATTCTTCCTATTTTATCATCTTTCTCTTTTCTTCCATCTTCTTTAAGTAAGATTCTCAAAGAAATTCAAGCCTAGTTGGATCCATCCAAGGTAAGATTTTTAAACATCATCCTTCTAGCTTCATTTTGAGCTCCATTTCACTAGTTTCTATCCATGGAACCAAAAATGGGTATTGAGAATTTTGTAGGAATCTATGGATTCTAGCTAAGTTTTGAGTTATAAGGATTTTGTTTAGATATTATTCAACCCCTAGATGGATTGGTAATCCATTTTCTCATTTCTTTTAGTGAAAGAGATAGGAGAAAGCTCAAGAGCTAAAGGAAAAAAAAAGTTGATTCTTGAGTGAGTTGAGAAAGTTTCTAGCCATACAAGAAGCAATGTAAGAACTTTACAACTCTTCTATACTCTTAGTGATTCACTAGAAGTTCAAAATAGTTTAAATGGTTGAGTTGAGCATGATAAGCATTTTCATGGTGAAATTCTTGTTTTAGAGTTTTAAATGTGTTTAAAGCCTCTATTATGACCCTTACTGATCAAATACAACTTTAAGCATGTTTGGGGACCTCACAAAGGTCTTTGGGATTGAATTATAGCATTTTAGTACGTGTTATATAGTTTTCTGCAGGTAAAGTAACGATATTATTGTGATAGTATCGATAGTATCGATACTAGTTCTTTGTTTTGGGCAAAATTGTGAGTTTGTGGGCAAAAGTATTGATACACTTTCAAGAGTATCAAAACTTTGGGTCACAGTTTCGAAACTAGGCAGAACAAAATGTTTAAAAGTATCGATACTTATATAAAGTATCAAAACCTTTGCACTAGTATCGATACTCTTGGGTTAGTATCAATACTTTCAATTTGTTTTGGGCAAAATGTTAGTTTTTAAGGGAATTAGACTTGAGGTACCCCAACATTCCTTTTTATCATCAAATAAGACTGCAAGTTAGAATATGAATGAGATTAATTACACTTAGAAACCATATTTATTAGGATGTCATAAAACTAGCCTTGTTTAAATGCTCAGAAAAACGATAGGATACCCGAGTTCCTTCAGAAAAGCAAGCAGAGTCGACGGTATAGATTCAGACTAGATATCCTTAGGTAGGGTCGAGGCCCTTCTGACTAACTATGTTTGTCGAGGACTTAACACTCTTTAGAAGAATGGTGAGTTAATTAGAGGTATAGTTTCCGATGTAGAGAATTTCGGAGGTCATATCCAGGGTAGACTAGAGGGGTGTGTGGGCTCCAAGATGCAGAATCCTCAGCCGCACCATGATGTATACCATAGCGTAGAGAGTGAGTATTCGAGAATACTCACTAAAGCAGTTTTAAAGCATACTAGATTGGGCGCAAGGTCCAATACTCAAATAGTGGGCTAGTAGAACAGATAACAGTAGACTTGATAGCGTGAGCACTTTTTGTATAACTTAGTTGTTAGTGTGGCACTAGGCTAGTTAGCTCAGCGTTTGAAATTTGTTTTCTTATGAAGTTTAGTCGAGTAGTAGTCTGAGGTTCAACAACGATCCAAAACCCAGCTAGTGCAGTGTACGTCTCGAGTTTATCTTTAGAGGGTATATATATTTGTGAGCCCCGAAATATATATTTTTTGTATGAGTTTTAACTTATTTTATACTATGTTTTGTATGATTTAAACATTATTTTGGGAGCTCCTAATATAAACTATTTCATTTAAATTGTAGTTGATTTATTTTAGTATGAGTGGTTACAAATTGTTATTTTAAAAGAAAAAAATTAGTTAGCCATTCTGATGGTTTCATGTGGCATTCTGATTGGTTGACTATGTGTCGTATTGGTTTAAGGTGTTACATTTAGTGGTATCAGAGTGTCAGGTTTAGATATTCTTAGGACCTGTAGGTCAAAGACATGTCAGAGTCAGTGAGAGTTTATGAGTATATATGCCTTTAGAGATATAAATAGTATTTATGCTTTTGAAACAATGATAGTAACTCTTCTTATTGTTTAAATTTTTAGAGTTAGATATGGATGAGAGCCTAGGTCATAGTCAGGAGGGTAGAGACGAGAGTAGAGCTTCCCTTGCGGACGATATCAATGATGATTTCATACCCGAGATAGATTTTGAGGAGCCCGAGGATGTGGGAGTTGAGGAGTCATCTTTCTTTAGAGAGATGACTGCTACCCTGAGGTGTATAGCTAGATCCTTACCTAGGACACCAGTAATCCAACCTAACCAGTCAGCTCTGCCAGCCCCACCTACTGTAGCTTCACAAGAGTCCCCTATTGAGAGGCTTTGGGGGAATCAGACCACATAATTTTTTGGGTCAGCTGATGACGACCCATTAGTGGTTGATCAGTGGTTGAGGAAGACTCAAAGGACCCTTAGTCAACTACACCTCTCTTCTAAGGGTATTATCAAGTGTGTTGAAGGGTGAAACAATTGACTGATGTGATACAATTGAGATGTCTTTGGAGCCAGAGTGACCTATATGGGATAAATTTTTAGAAATGTTTTTCCAGAAGTATATAAGTGAGGTTTATATGGACGATCTGAGGGATCAGTTCTTGCAATTAAAGTATGGAGACCATTCTGTATTTAAGTATAAATTAAAATTCCTTCGACTCAGTCGATACGTACTAGAGTTAGTGTCGTCAGAGCATTTCTGCTGTAGGAGATTCAGGGAGGGCCTCCGCCATGATATCTTTACCCATATATCTGCTAATCCCCCTAGAGCTTTTTTCGAGTTGATCCGTTAAGCCAAGGCCTTAAAGAGGGTACTAGGGAAAGGAACTACAGTTGTGAATGCTATATCCAGTCAGGTCAGGGGAGCTGCAGAGTCATCTGGGCCATCGCAACCATCGAAGAGAGCACAAGACTCTCAGGATTCTTAGAGATCTTTACAGGGTCAGACTAGTAGACCCACTCATCAGGTGTTTAGAGGAGGTGGTAGGTTTGATCAGCGCAGGAGGTCGTTGGTCACTATCTCAGTAGCGAGCTCTAGAGGTTCATCGATGGCACAGTATCAACCTGTCTGTTTAGTTTATGGTCAGACACATGTAAGGGAATACTGCCAGGGGTTCATAGGTTGTTATAGATGTGGTTTTTTGCACCATTTTATCAGAGAGTGCCCAGAGGCTCGAAATACGGCACCAGCTTTGACGTAGAGGTCAACTCCTATAGTTCGAGGGGTAGATGATCTCACAGGGGTGGTAGCTCATCATCTGGTCAAACTAGTAGAAATGTGGGCCGATCAAGGGCCAGTGTAGAGCCAATGTTATTGTTCGCCAGTATGCAGTCTGAGTTCGGGAGGATTGCGATGCAGCCAATGTTATTTCAGGTACTTTTACAGTACTTTTTATTCCAATTACTGTATTAATCGATCCAGGATCAAGTTATTCCTATATTTGCTACGATCTAGTTCAATAATGGAGTATTCCAACCAAGAAACTTAAGATAGGGTTCAAAGTATCTAGTTCTTTAAGAGTAGATGTCCTAGTGGACAAGGTGCACCGTAGATGCCTTGTTAAAATCCAAGGTGAAATTTTCCCCGCCGATCTTATGGAGCTAGCTTTCACACAGTTTGATCTAATGTTAGGCATGGACTGGTTATCAGAGCATGATGCAAGCTTGAAGTGTAAGCTTCGATGACTTAAACTCCGGAAAGAGGACAGGACACAAATTATGATGTTTGGTAAAAAATTCTAGCACGCAAGGATTGTTTCGGCTCTTAAAGCTCAAAGGATATTGGATAGGGGTTGTGAAGCCTTCTTAGCTCGTGTGATCGATACCAGAGTAGCAGCCCCATGGATTGAGTAAATCTGAACAGTCAGACTTTTCAGACATATTTTCAGAAGAGTTACTAGGGTTGCCACTGGATCGAGAGTTAGATTTTATAATTGAGGTAATGTTGAGATCCGCTCTGATGTCTATTGTTCCATATCACATGGCACCGATAGAATTAAAAGAACTGAAGGATCAAATCTAGAAGTTGTTGGAGAAAGGCTTCATCTGGCCAAGTATCTCATTGAGGGGAGCAACGGTTCTTTTCGTTAAGAAGAAAGACAATTTGATGCGGTTGTGCATCGATTACTGACACTTGAACAAGTTAACCATCAAGAACCACTATCTCTTACCCAGAATTGATGACCTTTTCGACCAGATCAAGGGCACGTACTTCTTCTCTAAGGTCGACTTGAGATTCGAATACCATTAGTTAAAGGTAAAGGAAGCAGATATAGCCAAGACATCGTTCAGGACAAGATACAGTTACTATAAGTTCCCAGTAATGCCGTTTGGATTTACCAAAGCTCCGACGACATTCATGGATCTCTTGAATCGAGTTTTTCACCTGTTTTTGGATCAATTCGTGGGGGGTTTTTA